ATACTCACTGCGGTGATATACACCGGGAAGAAATACCAAGATGCTGCTAAATCAACGGCCCAAATCAATGAAATTTTCTGTGGTTGCACGGCGTATCAACATTTTGAATTGTTTCCTCTTACTTGTGCATCAATCTTTTTTGTTTTTTCTCTGCGGACTCGCGGTCAGATGGCGGAATGAACGTTTGGAGGCACCAGAAGGCACACGTAGTGGGTACTCGACGTGGTATATTCAATGGAATCTTTCACGCTATACCGCAAAAGAACTTTTTGGATGGCGATATCTTACCAACTTTGTTCTTCTCTCATACCTTATTCCACTCTCTTTGTATGTCACAATGGAGTTTAACAAAGCCATTCAAATGGTCCTTATTTCCCGTGATAGGCGAATGGCAAATTTTGATGAATTTATTGGCGAATTACGCTATACACGTCCTAAAACATCGGAGCTAAACTGTCAATTGGCTCATGTGCGGTATATATTTACAGATAAAACTGGGACATTGACAGAAAACATTATGACATATGTGGGTGGTTGTACAGCGACGAAGACTCACAATGAACAAGAGAGACCTGGTGGTCTTGGTGAAGAATTTATACAACTTATACAGAATTTCCCAAATAAATCTGGAACCAAATCTGTTATTCAAGGCAATTGCTTTTTTCGTGGTCGTCGTCGAAAATTTGATTTTGATGAATCTATGATGGAATCTGAACCACTTTTTCAGTACCTACGAGCATTGGCTTTATGTCATTCTGTCGTTTGTTTTGATCGTTCATCTGTGGATCAGGCGGCGATAATTTCTTCCTTGAGTTGTACCCATGTATCTTATGGGCATGACGCGGAAAATGCTCATTTTCGAATGCCAACTGGTGAACAGCAAGAACTTCAAGCTTTGGATCCAGCTATACCGGGTGCTTTCAATTCATCTGGGGCCCAGGCAAATGGGTTTCACACCAGCACAGCAAGTGGTGTTGGTAAGTTTCTTCAAGGTCATAATGGAAGTTCAAGTTGGTATGTAACACGTTACAATGATATGCAGACGGATCAACGATCCGCAACTATGCCAAGGATTGTAAATGAATTAAAAGACGAGTCAAAAATATACGAAGCACAGTCATTGGATGAGATTGCATTGGTGACAGCTTCTCGTGACAACCTTTTTGCATTGCAAAGACGGAGTGCGACACATATGTTTATTAAGGTTGTAAATAAGATTATGTGCTATGAGATTATCGCTGAATTGGAGTTTACACCACAGCGGAAATTAATGAGTATTTTATTATGCCGGTGCCCCACACACGATGATGAGGCTTTTGAGCAACCAGAAACAACAATTAGTTATCATCGATTAAATACCGCAACAGCATTCATCCCAGTCCCACGTGAATTAGAATGCGTGGAAGATGGAATTGTTGACATTATTCCACTTTCAGAAGACCCCTCGACTACGAGGAAAAGAGAGGAAAGGGCTATTGACAATGTGGATATGGATGTGAGTGCCACACATGGTAATAGGGAGCGCTCGCTTGACAATGATGAAGAACGCCCGTACCTATTACTTGTAAAGGGAGCAGACAGTAGTATGATGACAATTTTGAATAAAAATAATCCAAGAAATGCGGAATTGTGGCCTATTTTTCAACGGGAACTTGAAGCGATGGCACAACAGGGACTTCGGACGCTTGTCATGGGACAACGATATCTTTCAGAACGCGAGGTACGAGAGTGGTTACCATCCTTTCATGAAGCTCAATGTAGTATGCATAACCGAATGGAGAGGCTCCATCGCGTCTATGCGATGTTAGAAAAGGATGTAGATCTTGTGGGTACTACAGCCGTAGAGGATCGACTTCAAGATGGAGTTCCAGAGACGATAAAATTTTTTATAGAGGCGGAAATTGTTGTATGGATGCTTACAGGTGATAAACGTGAGACGGCGGTAACGATTGCAGGCACAAGTGGTTTAATCGACCCTCAGTTTAAAGATTGTGTGTTTCATTTAGATGTTGCAGAAGCCTCGTTACAGTTTACTAGTGTTACTGAAGCTGCGGCTGATGCCACCTTGTGGGAATTACTACAGGAACAGATAAGGGAAGCCGTACGAAAATGTAATACTTCTGACGAGATATATGGAAGTACTCGAACGGTGGTGTTAGTTGTAGATGGACGGACGCTAGATATCATTTTTACCGATGTCACTTGTACTCGTAAATTCTTTGAAATTGGTATTCGATGTCGTAGTGCCGTGTGTTGTCGCATGACGCCGTTACAAAAAGCAAAAGTTGTACGTATGTTTCAAAAGAATACAAGCTCTGTTGCGTTGGCGGTTGGTGATGGTGCCAATGATGTTTCTATGATTCAGGAGAGCCACATTGGCGTTGGTATTATGGGACTTGAAGGTTCCCAAGCGGAATTGGCAAGCGATTATGCAATTCCCAAGTTTCGTTTCTTAAAACGATTGCTGGTGGTGCATGGTCGCTTTGCTTTGTACCGTGACGCTCACTGTATTACATTTAGTCTTTACAAAAATGTTGTGTTATGTACCGGTCTTGCAACATACACGTTTTTCTGTGGTTTTTCTGGTATGATTTTAGTGGAATCTTGGTTACTCGCCATGTTTAATTTGTTTTTTTGCTCCTTGCAACCTCTGGCTCTTGGTATCTTTGATAAGGACGTGGATGACGAGCTAGCCGAGTCTACCCCGTCTCTTTACCCGGCATTGGCACGTGAACATATGTTTTTTAGTTGGAGTTACATCCTTAAATGGCTTTGTGATGGTGTATTGGATGGACTTGCGCTATTTTTTGTTATTTTCTACACTGTGGCAAAATGGGACGAGTTATATCCGTACCGTTCTGCTTCTCTAGAAGATTATGGAACGTTATTTTTCATGATGGTGTTGCTTCTATTAAACCTCCGTATTGCTGCAGTCATGACGTGTTATACCGCCATTTCATTTGCCGTCATTGCATTTGGGTTTATCGCGATTCCGACGTTGACGATGGTGTATTCCGCGTTTCCTCATATCCTTGGATCCAATTGGGGCGTAAACATTGCCATGGAACTAATGGGAACAAACAAGTTTTGGATGCTAATGTTTTTCTCCGTTGGTGTCTTTGTTGTGTACGGGATGGCGGTAAATACGTACATTGCCCTCTTCTGGCCGTGGGCAAACGGTGGGGCTGCCATGCGAGCAGCGTGGCGCTCACCGTACCGGCTGGAGTACAAGCAGCGCATGAAACAACGTGGCTGAGGGGGAAAAGGACAAAAGGGAGGAGAGGGATGAGTGGGAGGTGCCTGCCATCACCGGTCGTGGTGGTTTTGTGGCGGTGAGTGAAGTACGCACATAAAACCCCACCCACCCACCCAGCAGCGAAGGGAGTAAATATGGAAGAAAAGGATGCCGTCACAATTGTTTTTGTGGCGTACACGGGGGGGAGTGTTGCTTGTAGGGGAGAAAAAAGGGGATGAAAGAAGGAAAAGAGAGAGAGAGAGAGACAGATGGAATTGGATTCCGGGCATGAACACACACAAACACACAAGCAGACACACACACTTATATACATGTATGTGTGCGTCCATCGGCATGCTGTTTTTTTTTTTTTTTTTTTTTTTTTTCTCCCCCTCTCACGCATTGGCGTTTTTATGGTGAAGAGGGAGGGAGGGAGGGAGGGAGTGAATGAGTGGAGAACGACTTTTCTTTTCTTTTCTTTTCTTTTTGTGTCCGTGTCTGTGTGTATGCATACTGGATCCATACGCCATGCATACATAACATGTACGGGCACATCTGTACAATGTATTTATTTTTCAGTGGTGAATTTATAGAAATTAAACAAAACAAATAATAATAATTAAAATAATAATAATCGACATGCATAACGAGAAGTTTTGGTGAATCCAATGCAACCATGCCCCCCAAAAGAAAGAAAGAAAGAAAGAAAGAAAGAAGAAGAAGCATCAAATTAATAATCACACGAAAAGGAGGAGGGAGAGGAGGAGTAGGAATAGGAAGGAGAAGAAGAAGTAAATACATAAGCCTGTATATATATATATATATATATTTATTTATTTATTTATTTATATATACATGTGCTTGGCATGTTTTTCTATAAAATTATTATATTATTATACATTTACCAGATATATTTATATATATTTATATATATTTATATATTTATAAGTGTGTATGGGTGGGGATGGGTGTGTTCCTGCGTAGGATTTATACATGTGTTCCTTTTTTTTTTTTTCTTTTTTTGTTTGTTTATGTATGGCTGTATGTATGCATGCATGTACGTCATATGAAGAATATTGCTAATAATACGACTACTACTACGACTACTGTTTCTGATATCTGTGACTTCTCTCTCCCTCTCCCTCCCTCTCTATTTTGTAAGTGCGTGTACACACACATATATTTATATATGCGTATATATGCATGGATGTATTTCCTTCTCCTTTTTTTTTTTTTGCTTTTTGAATTTCTACACAATTAGAGTGAGTGAAGAAACAAACAAGCAACCAAACAAACAACAAGACAGAAAAAAAGGTGTTTACCAGCCCTTGGTGTCTCTCACAATTCAGGAGTTTTTGAACTGTAGTTTTTATTTTATTTTTTTTTTTTATTTTTTTCTTTTCTTTAGAGGTCTCGGCGTCTGTTTTGCTCTCATTAGCGGCGGAGTGCCATCACCGTAGAACAAACATTTTATTTATTTTTTTATTTTTATTTTTATTGTGGTGCTGAATTGAGGCGACGCAGAGGGAGAGGGTGTATTTGACTTTTGTGCGTCTGATTCGTGTGGATTTCTTAAAGAACACAACGATGCTCACTGCATTTATTCGACAGACGGCGACGCTTCGCGCTGCTTACTTGCCCCTTGCGGCAGCCTACACATCGTCATCATCATCGCCATCCACATCGAACCCGTCGGCCGTGGTAGCCACTACAGGCAACGCGACTCCCATAACGGCAACGGGAATGACGAATGCAACGGAACGTGTAAGGAGCCTTCCTGGTGCCGTTGTGGGTGGCGGTGTTGGTGCTGGTAACGACACAATGCCACTAGTGGGCGATCCGCGTGTGAGCATTTGGCGGGATGAGGAGGCCTTGTTGCGAGCGTCGTTGGGGCGGCTGGAGGCAGAGCGGGAATTGGCGCGGATGCGTCGACGTTGCGAAGACGAATTGCATTCCTTGCGGGAAGGGCTAAAAGTGCGGGAAGGACAAGTAGCACGAATTGTGCGTCGCGTCATCACGCGTACTCCCGCAAAAAGTCGACGTGGACGTCATGCACATGTCGTGGCTAATAACATCAACAGTACGCATGACACTGCCATCTCGTGTGTGGAATCGGGAGGCGAAGAAGTTGTGGCTGCCACGGATGAGTGTGAAGGGCATGGGGCGACCGTGATGACGCAAGATGAGGCACATACGGAGGAAATCTGCAGACCGGCGCATCCGGGCAGAGCGAACAAGAAGGAAAAGGCCCATCGCATCACTCTTGGAAATGCGGGAGCATTGGAGGTGGAGGAATTAGACGGGAAGGGCCGCGTGAAGGATGGCAACAATGAGGTCGAGGGGGCAAATGACGCCGAGCGGTCAGAAGGGTCAAACTCATTTTCCGGTGATGACGCAGCGGATAATGCGGACGGAGACGGAACCGGAACGACAGTACCATCCGGGATGGAGCTGAAAATGTCGTTGACAGGAACACGACGCGGTGGTCTTGCGGGGGGGACGGTGCATGTCGGCAGCAACGCCACTGTAACGAGTACCGCGGGGGGAAAGCGTCAGGCCGCCACCGCCAGCACCAACGGGGAGCTCACGAAGGACGCAGTGGGACGGCGTGGAAGGCGGCGGGCAGGAACGACGAAGAAAGGCACTGGCAGCAACAACAACAAAAACAACAGCAGCAGCAGCAGCAGCACCAAGAACAAGAACAAGAAGAGGGAGACGGGACGAAGCCCGGCGAAAAATAAAAAAGCGGTTGTGAAGACTTTGACAAAGCAGCGCATCAACTCAAAGGGGCGTACCGTTTCTCACAATGCGCCTTCCAGCAAGAAGAAGGTGCAGCCTAAGCCGAGAGTGAAGACTGGCCATCCCACACCGAAAAGGAAGACTTCATCTTCAATGAGAAAGCAGCCGAAGAAGCAGGATCATAAAAATAATAAAAGCAAACAAAGCAGCCTCAACAAAAAGGGTAATGGTCACACAAAGAAGACAACCAAAACAAGGCAGAGAAAGTAAAAATATTAATAGTAATAATAATAAACGAGCGAACAAGAGTATTTTATTTGTTGCGTGGCACTGTTAGAGCTATTTATAATTGAGTTATATATATATATATATATACATGTGAAGCAGTTGGTAACGTGTGTTCTTGTTTGTGTGTGTGTGTGCGTGCAAGTACGTCGGGTTAACTGCTACAGTCTTGTGTATTTGTGTAGATATTTACAAATTGTATCATTTACTTTATGTATGTTGAGTGGATTAGACTAGATGGACTCAAGGGGAAAAAGAGAGAAAGAGAGAGAGGGAGAGAAAGAAAGAAAGAAAGAAAGGGAGAACGCACAAAAAGGGGGGAAAGAGGGGATGGATTAAGGAGCCTTACTTGATTTTATTTATTTATTATTTTTTTTTTTTTTTTTCGTGTGTATGTATGTATGTATTTATCTGTAGAATTGCGTGGTTATTGTTAGAAGGGTGTATTGATGGAAAGCAACTTTTATTTATGTACTTCATCTTGCACTTTGCAATGCTTTCTGTTTATGGCAATATATACATTTATATATACGGTTACATGCATACGGCGTTTATTCCTTGTAATTATTCGACGGGGGGTAACTGTAAATTATCAAAAAAAAAAAAAAAAAAGGCAGGATTTGCATCATACACGTTTGGCTCCATCTCTCTCCATCTACATTTCTCCATATATATATATATATATATATATGTGTGTGTGCATGGTTTTGTTTTTTTATTTTGTTTTGTTTTGTGTGTGTGTGTTTTTTCTCTCTTTTCTTCCATGCGTTTTCTGTTCTTTTTTCTCTCCTTTTATAATTATTTTTTGTTTTTTTTGTTTTTTGTGTGTTTTTGTTTTGTTTTATGTATGACTGTAACTATCTGTATGTTTCATTATCATTATTTATTTATTTAATGTGCTTGACACCTCCTCACATGTTCTCTATTAAGTGCATGTGCGTTTGTGTGCGCGTGTCGGCTCTTTTTTTTCTTTTTTTTTCTTTTTTTTTTTTTTTTATATCTCTCTTGGGAATGTTGTAATTGAGTTTCTTTCATTCTATATATATATATATATATCTACATGCACAAATATATATATATATATATGTATATATCCCTCTTTTTTGTAAGTTTCTATTTTATGTTTTGATTATTTTGATCTTATTTTATTTAATTGTGTAAGATTTTTAGAAGAATTCTGGTGCTTGCAACCCGATAGAGAGAAGGAGGGAAAGCGGGAGGTAGCGTGTGTGTGTGTGTGTGGAACACAGGCGGTGTAATATTCCAGGCGCCAGGCATATCGAATACATCGTTGTATTGATATTCGTCATATATACTTATATATACTTATATACAATGACGGGAGGCGAGAGGAATCCTTCGCCGCGTATCCGTGTGCACAATGCTGAGTTGTACACAGATGTCATGAATGCCTCAGACTGGAGCCGCATGATTGAGCGGGAACAGCAGCGAGAACGAATTGCGGCCCGTCGTCAACACGAGGCAGAGGAGTGGCAGCTGCAGGAGCAGATGAAGTTGGAAGAGGTTCGGTTGCAGGCAGCACGAGACACGGAGGCGGCGAAGGCACGTCAAGAGCGGCGAGCCAGAGAAGACACGAAGGAGCAGGAACTGGCGGATTTTATGCGCCGCTTTATTGCATTTGTAGAGGAACACGAGGACTTCAACGCACGCTGTGCATGCCAGGCGCGCCGTGAAGAGAGGCACTTGCGGCGTGTGGTGGAGAAGCTCCATCGTGCCTGGAAGGAGGATGTGTTTCTGCCTGTGCAGGCGTTTATTGACGCCCAGCTGCAGGATGTAGAGGGGGAGCAGCACCGGACGTTACTACGACACAACATGTTGACCGCATTTCTTAAAGAGTGTAATCGCACCGATCGTTTCGGCGGCCGCCACGCCGTTTACCGTGACATTATTGACGAGGTGCGGTACGACCCCCTGGGGCAGCTGCAGACCTGCACCATTCGTTACCCTGCACCCCCTCGGCGCGAGGCGGCTGTGGATGCGCAGCGGCGTGCGGCGGAGGAGGTTCAGCGGAAGTACGCTCAGCTGGCGATTGACTATCACGGACTGGAGCGGGAGTCCACAACAGGCGTGCTGACGGATCCACCCTTGAATGACACTTCACAGATCCCAGCGACGAATCTGCCCATAACGGGAGTTGTTTCCACAGGAAACGAATTTCACGTTGCGTCACCGACGTGGTCGAGTGACCCAAGGGAGGTGGCGACAACTGCAGCAGGCATAGAGAGCAACGCGACGTTGTCCACGACGGGATGGACGGCAAAACATTGTACCAGCACAGCGGGACGGACGGCAAGACGGACGGTGCTTCCCCCGTTGCAGCATCCACCGCCCCCACAAGATTTTCGTCACCTCAGCTACGGTATTAATTTAAATGCTGTCGATTCACTTGCAAAATGGACGAAGGAACGACGTATGCCGAGGCCACGTGAGGCCGATCTCCCCGTTACTATGTGGGGCCGATTCCCTGAAACGATACACGGCTGGATGGCAACCGCCGACGGTGACGTCAAGCCGAGTAGCAAGCGCCGGGTTGACACCGCACGGAAGGCGCAACATTCGGATGTCATGTTTGATCACTACAACTTTCCACGGGGGTTAGAGGGCCCAATGCACACGGGCAAACGTGTTTTGTGAAGTCTCCCTCTTTTTCCCCCCCCTTCCCTTTTCTCCCTCTCTTTTTTTTTTTTTTTTTACTTTGCATGTGCCCTGTGCTGTGTTTTGTTTCAGTGTATTTGACCCGTACGCTTTTTTCCCTTTCTTTTACCATTCATTCGGCGGAGCACGCGCAGAAAAGAAAAACAAATACATAAAACATGTACAGAAATCCATTGCTATACAAATATATATATATATATGGCAGTGAACGGATAATTCTGCTAAATGAGTTGCTCCTGTGTGTTGTGTGTGGATGTCTGTCTTTTTTGTTGTTGTTTTTGCCACCGACACATCCTGCCAGGCGATGTGTTGGAAATAACACTCCAATGCATGCGTTGAGATGAGTTGTTTTTTTTTTTTTTGCTGGGTTTTTTGTTGTTAATTGAAGGCGTGCGGTACGGGTGAAGGGAGAAAAAGAAGGAAAAAGAAAAGAAAAGGGCATCATCAACAAGTAGAACGACATGAATTCTTATGCGCGTTTCTTCTGTGGAGACCAATCGGGACTGTCGTGGATTGGATGGAATCGTCTCCGCGATAAGCAGTTGTTTTTCGGTAGCCTCTTTGCCGCCACCTCCATTTACGCTGCGGTGCACTATTCGGAAGAAAAGGAACGTCGGCGGCGGCACGTGTCCATTGAGAATGACATTGAGCGTGAGCGGTGGCGGGCGAAGGAATTAGGTCTTGAAGAGCCTCGTGATGACGGCTTTGCGGACGCATACATGAAAAAGTTGCGTAGCAAGCAATGACGCCTAATGACATCCTCTGATGTGGATTGTGTGTGTGTGAGAGAGACCGGGGGTGAGGGATACAATGCAATGCCTGCACCCGAACCTGAGGCTTTTGGTAGGCTTCAGAAAGTTCATGGAATGCTGAAAGAAAAATTGGGAAAGAGGCCGCGGAAATGGAGATGGGCGTTGAGCAGTGTGTCTGTCTGCATGTGTTACGGGTGGTTGCTTGGGTGTGTAAGGGTCGGGTAAGTAAGATGGACACATTTGGTTTTTTTTTTTTTTCTTTTTACTGCCGCTGCTACTGCCGTCGTTGCCATCTGTGTGTCCCTCACTTTTAAGGTAGGCTGAGCAGGGACGGAGAGGTGGCCACACGTGTACCATCACACACACACACACACGCCCAAGTAGAAAAGATGAGTGCGAAGACCAATCGTTCTTTTTCCACCTCTTCCTCCAGTCTTATAAACGGCACAGAGCCGCGCATTAAAATCATCTCCATTGGTTCCTCCGGTGTCGGGAAGAGTTGTGTTATCAAGCGATACTGTGAGGGGCGCTTTGTGTCAAAGTACATTCCCACCATTGGCATAGACTACGGTGTGAAGCGAGTGAGTTTACGTGCGCCGGCACATATGTCGCCTGCGCCGCCCAATTTTTTTGTTCGGGTGAATTTCTGGGACATGGCTGGCCGTGACGAGTTTCTTGAGATCCGAAACGAGTTTTATTACGCTGCGGAAGGTGTTTTGCTTTTTTACGACGTCACCGATGCCTCAAGTTTTGCCACTTTGGACGAGTGGTTAAAGGAGATGCAAACATACGTGAATGCGCCTCGAAACACTGGCGGGGAGACGCTGGGCGTGAATCCTGTGAAGAAACCAGCGATTGTTGTGGTGTGTGCCAACAAAGTGGACAATGAGGTTGATGGCGGTAAGAAGCGCGTTGTTAGCGAAGCGGATGGGCGGCGTTGGGCGGAAGCGCACGGATACAAGTACTTCGAGACGAGTGCGTGCACCGGCCTGCACGTCACGGAGATGCTTGAGACGCTTTTTAACGATGTGGTGGCAGCATTCATGTAACTCTATTGAAAATGAAAATGAATAAAAGACCATCACATACATACATACATGCAGAGAGAGAGAGAGAGAGGGAGAGATGCGCCGAGCATTGTGGACGGGTGGAGATTTTTTGAGATTCCACCTGTTCCTACGTGTGTGGAGGAGAGTCATACACATGCATATACATATATATAAATATATATATATTTATTTATTTATGAGAGAGAAGGCAGCAAAAAAAGGAAGAGAGATGGCTGTAAAATTATCTTCTTGTCCGCTCTTTGCAATTTTTGTTGTTGTTGTTTTTTGTATTATCCTTCTCCAATGAAAATGTAATGTATTACTGTGTGTTTGTGTGTGTGTACGGGGTGTGGTGGAATAATTCTTTTTTTTTTTTTTTTTTTACTTTTACTTTTACCCCCTCGTACCACCTATCCTTGAATACATTAAATAGTTACGTAGCACACGCAGCAACAATATATATTTATATATAATTTAAATACCGGCTTTTGCATTTACACACAGGGAAATATGCCTCGACGGTTTGTTGCCGAGTATGTGACGAAACATCTCTGTGGTGTCCGGGTGTTGGAATCATTTGCGGAAACCAGCACCGCTACGGGTGTCATTGGGACGCATAACGGCTCCTTTCACTGTGATGAAGCCATGGCATGTGGATTGCTGCGCTGCAGTCAAAATTTTGGTCAATCGAATATTCTTCGCTCACGTGACCCGAATGCGTTGGAGCGGTGCAATATTGTTGTGGATGTTGGCAGCGTCTATGATGAGGCGACACTGCGGTTTGATCACCATCAGCCGTCTTTTCATGACACCATGAAAACGCCAAAGGCGGCCTATCAAACCCGGTTGTCCTCTGCAGGCCTTGTTTACAAGCACTTTGGCCGTGAGATTATCCAGGGTTATGTGGAATCTGCATTGGCATCCCCGTATCGCGTAAAACTGCTGGACGCCACGAAATGGGGAACAGATAAGAAGAAACTATCGGAGCAGGAACTGGATATTTTGTTTGATATTGTTTACAAGAATTTTGTGGAACACATTGATGGCATCGACAACGGCGTTAATGCCTACGGACCTGCAGAGACGGAAGGCGAGGAGGGCGCCGTCCCGGTCTCATCGTCTTCACCATCATGTGTGAAGAAGTACAATGTTTCTACGACGCTTTCAGCTCGCATAGGAAATCTTATGCCATGGTGGAATGAAGAAGGGAACGGTAAAGTGGAAAACGAAAATGCCGCCTTTCTGCAGGCAATGGAGTTGGCAACATCTGAATTTTTTGACTCCGTTCATTATCATGTCTTCGCGTGGATGCCAGCGCGTGGGATTGTCCGGGCGGCATTTCTTGAAGCAATGAATGTGCATCCTAGTGGCCGCATTGTCGTCTTCAAGGATTGCTTCTGCCCATGGAAGGAACACTTGCTGGAGTTGGAGGAGGAACATGGCAAAGTGGGCCACGTCCTGTATGTACTCTTTGCGGACAAGAAGGGCTGGCGCGTGCAGGCGGTGCCCAAGGAGGCATCAGGATTTGAGAACCGCAAGTCGTTACCATGGCGAGGTTTACGAGATGAGGAATTGAGTCAAGCAAGTGGCATTGAAGGCGGCATATTTGTGCATGTCTCTGGATTTATTGGTGGAAACAAAACGTACGAGGGCGCATTGCAGATGGCAGTGAAGGCGTTGACAGTCGTAAATTGAAACCCATCCACGTTTACAGGAATGAATCATCTCTGCCCGCAGGACGCATGATGAGCCACAGACGTATATATATATATGTATAGTCTTTTTTGTTCCTGTTTTCTTTTTTAAAGGGTTTTTTTTTTTTTTTTCTAAAATGCGAAAAAGGAAGAAAACAAGAAAAGAAAACCAAACAAATAAAATTAGCAACGCAGGTGTTGGGGTAAATGATACAATGGGGTTAAATCTTAATGAGACGAGCCACCGTTGGATGATGAGGAAGAAGAGTAAAAGAAACAGGAAAATGAAAAATTAATACTTATATACATATTTATATTTATAGGGGTGGAGAAGTGTTGTGTTGCCGCAGCGAAGGAGAGATGCCGTTTTTTGGGGGGTCTTTTGTTGTTGTTGTATGTTTCTTCTTTTTTTTTTTTTGGGGGGGGGGGGGGGGGGGATCTCACTGGTGCGGCTCTCCAGCGCAGACTTTTCTCTGCTGTGCTCCTCCAGCCTGTCCTTCAGCGCGGCCAGGGCATCATCACGCTCCTGTAGCTGGCGCCTGAGTGTAACGACGGCGTCAACACTCTCACTGGTGCGGCTCTCCAGCGCGGATTTTTCTCTGCTGTACTCCTCCAGCCTGTCATTCAGCGCAGCCAGGGCATCATCACGCTCCTGTGGCTGGCGCTCCATGGCAGCCAAGGCGTCAACACTCTCACTGGTGCGGCTCTCCAGCGCAGATTTTTCTCTGCTGTGCTCCTCCAGCCTGTCATTCAGCGCAGCCAGGGCATCATCACGCT